GACGAAAATCCTCGCGAAAGCGTCAACGCCGAAACTTATTTCGACTTCGCTGACACTGGTTACGTTACACCTGCAGAAGTCAACACCAACGAAGCAGAACGCATAGGGCCCAACTTCATACCTGACCCAGAAACAGGTGACGAAGCAGCTTATCCCGCGGACACAACGCTCCCCCGCTACACACAGAGTGGCCTTCAGATACTTGGTCTCATCACCGCAGTCCACGGCACGGACACTCCTAAGGAGCCTGCCACAGTTCAGCAGGCTCTGGGGGGGGAGCATAAGGAAAAATGGCGTGAAGCCATGGACAAGGAATTGAAAGCACTACAGGAGCGCAACACCTGGAAAGTTGTTCCTATCGGCGTGACACGAAACAAGACAATACTCACCGGGAAGTGGGTCTTCCGTGTGAAGACGAAAGCAGATGGCACCATCGACAAGTTCAAGGCACGTTGGGTCGTACGCGGCTTCGACCAAGAGCAAGGACGCGATTTCACCGAGACATTCGCACCAGTTAGTCGACACACCTCACTACGGATTCTTCTCGCGATCGCCGCTATGAAGAAAAAGAAGCTGTGGCAAATTGACGTTGCCAATGCTTTTCTCTACGCACCTGTCGACGCAGAAATCTTCGTCGAGCTTCCACACGGTTCCCATGGAGAACCTAACCAAGTCTGCCAGCTACTGAAGTCCTTGTACGGGATCAAACAGGCCCCGAGACTGTGGCAGCAGTACTTACACGCTCGACTCACTCGCATCGGATTCCGGCAGTTACCGCACGACCAAGGAATGTACCGGCTCACGAAAGGCGACGACTACATCCTACTAATCGTCTACGTAGACGATCTGCTCTACATCGGGTCGACCGACAACATCACTACCTGGTTCGAAGGAGAGTTACAGAGAGATCTTACGCTCACAGTTTCATCTACCGTCACGCAGTACCTCGGCCTCAATATCCAGGAAGGAGAAAATGCGATCTATCTCAACGCCGCAAAATATGCCGATACCATCGCCAAACGGTTCGCACTCACGCCAACTATTATCTTTACGCCATACCGCTACACGGCAGGAAACGTGAAGGCAGAATCCGCTCCACTGAAGCCCGCCGGCATACGTAACTACCAGAGAAAGCTGGGATGCCTTCTCTTCGCGGCCGCCGCCTGCCGACCGGACCTATCATACTCCGCAAGTCAACTCGCCACCTACCTCAAACGACCTGAAGTTGAACACATGGCGGAACTAGACCGCGCCCTACACTACCTCGTAAGCACTCCGACGATCGGGCTGAATTACTACAAAAACAGGACTACAACGCCCAAGCTAATCGGCTACGTCGATGCCGACCACGCCGGAGATCCTGACAACAGGCGCTCGCGCACAGGCTACATCTACCACCTCGAGCCTATCGGACCTATTTCGTGGCAGTCGAGCAAACAAGAATTAATCGCCCTCTCCTCAGCTGAAGCTGAATATATCGCACTCTGCTCAGCCACCAAGGAAGGACTGTACCTTAACAAACTCCTGGAGGAAGCAAAGCTGGCCCAGTTACCCAGCTTCTCCCTATTTTGCGACAACCAGTCGGCAATTCGCATCGCCAATAAAAATGGATTCGCGAACAGGACAAAACATATCGCCCTGCGATATTTCTTCGTAAAAGATGAGATCGAGAAGGGGAGACTTGAGCTGTCTTACTGCCCCACATCCGAGATGGCAGCTGATTACTTGACCAAGAAGCTCGGAATGTCGAAGTTCGAATATTGCATGCTGCTGACTGGACAGAGCCACGTCACCAGCAGCGACACTCCAGAGGCGAAGGGGAGTGTTGGAAACAAGTGATTTATAACACCTCTGTCGTATCGAAGCTGAGACACAAAACGGAACTAACTACAGCGAAGCAGCACGTGAGTCAACTATCAGAGGTTACGCGAAGGTCAAAGGTCCTCGACCTTTGACCTGACGAAATGCACAGTGCGACAGTAAGGACATATAACTGACTCGTTACAGAGCAGTTACCCGAGTCGGCACTGTACCGAACCGCAACAGCAAAACAGTTAAAATAGAACTTTTCATATTCCTTGTAATCATATAAAAGCTTGTATCTTTTTGTTATTATTAACTTACTTTGTTCTCACAAACCAGTACAAGGTGGTTCAACAAGTCTTTATTAAACGCTTCCGCTACTACATCATCTTACACTTGAATTTTGTCCTGCAAAGATCCTAAGGGCTTTCTCAGCCCAACAGAATCTTCGGCAATGCTATATAACCCTTCGTTATTCCAACACATACTCTTATTTCGCAATTCATAATAGGGAGCAGCCTTCGGAAAGTAATATACGGTATACACCAATATTTCGAGGCAGTAACCCCAACACAGGCGTTTAGCAGGCCTTCGCCTAGTTCGCCTTGTGACAATGTGACATGAAGTTGGAAAATGTGATTCTACGTTATGAAGATATTTGAAAACAGTGTGGATCAGGAACCAATATCATGTATGAGTAGCACAGCCCTCTGTACATGTTTTATTCTTCGATCGTATATATATATTTTTTGGTGAATTATATTACACTATAGAAGTGCATACATTCTCAGTCGTAACTGATATTCTGGAGAGGACCTACCCTGGTTACACAGCCTTGTATCACTACCGGGGTCTCCCCTCGGGGCTTTTAGAACGTACATAGTTTTGTGCCTGCTCAGGAGTGGACGAGAGCCGTTGCCCGTGTTCCAATCTACTCCCCGGCGTACCCGGGGTGGACCTTGATGCATTGTAGCATCATTGACCATTTGAAGGAGAGTTGATCAACCCTCCGCGTCGATGTTGACGGGAGTCGTACCACCGCTTGTTCGCCTGCACAGAAAGTTGACCAAAAAAACGAGAACGGAAAGTTGACCAAAAAAAAAAAAAAAAAAAAAAAAAAAAAACTCCACACACCAATGGGGCCATTTTCTCTCCTCACGTCACTCACTACCAATCAGAAAGAGTCGCTGTTTTCACTCATGACACAAAATGAAACTGACGGGAGAAGTGATCGCTGACTCCCGTCAACAGCTGATGGTTGACCTTTGAAACCCATACAGCTGTACGCCTCAACGAATCGGCATGCAGAATGGGTATGGTATGGATCTAAGAATTTTGCCATTGTGCGACTCGCTCGCAAAACCAGGCAGCCCTACCAAGATGGACCCCATTTCATTTCGTCCTGGCAGGGCGAAATCTCAAGCGGATCTACCAACAACAGCCTGCTATACAGCTGATGCCTGGTTGAGCTCCCCGACCTTACCTTACTCTCTGGGCGTATAAGTGATTCTTGCATTTCGCAGAGCTTCGTCAATTCGCACCTAGCAAAAAGGGCTTGTAAAAATATTTGTAACTCACCGTTGACACAGTTTGACCTCGGTCTCTTCAGTCAAACTTCGGTTTCTGTGGTTTATATTGGTTCAAATCACTGCAACTTGCTCGAGGGGCTTGTAAAGTGAGTGCAGAGTTTCCACCAGACGCGCAGGGGTTGAGCATCATGTGTAGTATTCCGCTTGAGCTCCTGCGCCTGAACCGCGCAAAGCTGGCTGTTTATCGTGGACATGATTCAAGGTCCACGCATCTGTTGAATTTACTACAATTGCTAGCACGAGAGACTGGACAGGAAGTTGCTAGCGCTCTATTCCACCTGAGGTGGCCGTCAACTCTTCGGGGGGAATCAACGGTCAGCAATGCAAGGGAAGTCGCATCCAGCACATCCCAGGAACATTCGTCGTAGCACCCAATTTCAACTCATCAGGGACAGTGGTTAACTGAGGTGGTCACACACAGCATATAGGCACAGTTCGTTTGAATGCGATTAACTGAGGTGGTTCACGCAATAAAGCGGTCAACATGAAATGGTTAGTAGGGAACTCAGGAATAACGAAACTTTGGGCCACTCCAACGGAATGACGGTAGCCCAGCACCTTATCCACATTCTCGGAGAAATTGGGTGTCTCTCCTCTTCACTTTTTTGGAGATCCCTCTCAGGCTGTTTCAAAGAGGCTGTTTTATTCACTCAATCGGCATCTCGCTACCGTGATCCCTCTCTTCTTCATTTTTCAAAGCTTCGACTTAATTGAGTGTGGCAGCGTACAGCGATCTCTTCCAGAAGATTTAACATTATGGAAGTTTCCCACCCGGCGAGCGGAGAGCATTCCGGCGAGGAATCCTCCGCGCACAAGCTGAATGATCTCACTTCAGCGAGGCTGGGAGAAAAAGGTAATGCGGGCATGAAAAAACTCTGCAACAGACCCGATTCCGATTCAGGATTCAATGTCGCTCTCAAACAAGCGTTCGTCGCAATATCGAATCTTCTCACGCACCTTCTGACGGACAGGCTGCAAAAAGCTGATGGAAACCGTCAACCTGACGGCCAACCATCCGCTGAGGACCAACCTCCAGCTGCTGACAGTAGCCCCCATCCCACCTTGTCTGCTCCATCGCTTGGAGGTCCTGGGTTCGATTCCTGCCGCCAGGCTGATGACGGAAAGCTTTCTGAGCAAGGGAACCAGAATCATGGGCTGGAAACAGAGCTATTACTCAACCTTGCCCATGTGGCACGAATCCTGACACCACAGTTGCCACGAATTGCCGCTACAAGTACCGCTTAGAATCAAATCCATTTTGCTGTGGATTGGCCGCAGGAGAAAAGCAGACATAATCGACGGCGCAGGTCGTTTGGATGTGGTGCTAAGATACCTTCTAATACTTCTAGGAGACGAAGATCACGTCTGTCGCAGGGAGCTGAAAAGAAAGAGCAAGCAGCGGCAGCAGCAGCAGCAGCAGCAGAGGAACAGACTGCATTGCAACCCCAAGACCAGCAAACCCAGCAACAGCAGAAGCAGCAACAGCAGCAGCAGAAGCAGCAGAAGCGGAAGTCCCCACCTCCCTCTACTCCTTTCCCCAAATACCGCGGAGTGCGACAGAGAAAGACAGGTCAATGGGTGGCAGAAATAGAGGACACAGCGAACAACATGCGCAAATGGCTCGGAACATTTTCCACTCCCGAAGCTGCTGCCCGTGCATTCGACCAAGCTGCTCGGGAGCTCCGTGGGACCCGGGCAAAGACGAACTTTCCACTGCCCGAGGAGCAGGCGGGCAAGGGTGGAGAGATAAATTGTGACAGGGAGACGGCTGTAAAGAGAAGGCCCTCAAAACGAGGTGTAATTGTTGATAAGGATGATGGAAATGTGGGTGGGATGTGCCGTGGTGGTGCGGGTGGGGAAGGGTCGTCATGCCCTAGAAATGATGCACCCGTATGGGAAGGGTCTTGCAATGTCAGCATGAATGGATCAGTATCAAAAGGGGAGCTGGTTTCTGCGAGGAGTGTGAATTGGAAGGAGAAGCGAGATCAAGAGCAGGGCAGGGAAGAAGCTGAGGAGAGGAGTGCGGAGGGGAGTGGGGAGGACAATGATGGAGGGGATGATGGTAGGAAGGATGGAAGGGAGGATGAGGACCGCTATGCTCGCGGATGGTTCATGAATTTGATTTCAAGCGAAAGTGCGTGTGCAGATGCAGAGAACACATGCTGGATGGCCCTCGACTCAAGAGAGAGTGCATGTGTGGCTGCCAAGTTTTCCAACAGAGCAGCATGGGCATGTGCTTTTGCTGAACCAGCTTACCCTACTCCTGGCAACCATAAGATCATGGCTCTTGGTACCCAGCTTGCTCCCCCTGTAGCTCCAGAGATCACACATGGAAAGCGTTTGCTGCGAGAGCAGGAATTGGTGATGGGGGGAGCGGTGGATCTAACGGCGTTGATTGGGGATGCCCCTAATGCCCCAGAAGGTGCAGATGGAGAGCCATTGCTGGATGGGGATTCTCTGGAAGAGGCACGGGTCACGGCAGGAGCAAGCAATCTGGCACTGCTGGTTGGGAATACCCCTGATGCTTCGGTGATGGCAGATGGAGAGCGCTTGCTGCTCAGGGATGCTCTGGAAGAGGGACCGGTAGCAGGAACAGCAAGCAATCTTGCAGTGGTGGTTGGGGATGCTCTTGAAGAGGCACTGGGCGCAGGAGGAGAAGATGATCAGGCAGAGCTGATCGGAGACCAGCCTGAGTTCCCAAATGACTTCCCAAACGGTTTCCCAAAAGGTCACCATTTTGGGTGTGCTGGGGACAGGAAGCTGGCAAGGCACTCTGGAGAGACAGGGGAGGAAGGGGGGCGTGTGGGGGAGTCAATGAAGGAAGGAGAGGAAGGGATGGAAGGGGATGCAGAGTGGAATGTGGTGCTGAGTCACATGGAGGAGGTTGCTGCTGCTGTGTCTTCTGAGTCGGGCAATGCTGGGGTGGATGCTTGGATACTGGAGGATATAATGCGACTTGATGGATGACTGCAGGGTATGACTGTGGAGGGTGTGACTGTAGGGTATGACTATGGAAGGTGTGACTGTAGAAGGTGTGAATATTGAAGGTGTGGCTCCAATGGGTGTCACTGTGGAGGGTGTGGCTCCAAAGGGTGTGACTGTGAAAGCTGTGACAGCAGAGGGTGTGACAGCAGAGGGTGCTGCAGAGGATGATGATGTTCAGACGTGGAAAGAATTTGCTGCAAGAGCGGTAATTGGTGATGGGTGAGCGGGAGATCTAGCAGCATTGATCCAGGATGCCCCTAATGCTCCAGAAGTTGCAGGTGGAGAGCCTTTGCTGCTTAGAGATGCTCTGGAAGAGTCACAGATCGCATCAGAAAGAAGCAAACTGGCAGTGCTGATTGGTGATGCTATGAAAATCACATAGGGGGGGTGCTTTGGTGCTCGGAGAACGCTCTGGAAGAGACACGGGTCACAGCAGGGCGGTCTGGAGAGAAAGGGGAGGAAGGGGAGCGTGGGGAGAAGTTGAGGAAGGAAGGAGAGGAAGGGGTGCAAGGGGATGGAGAGAAGTGGGATGCAGTGATGAGTTACATTGAGGACTTTTCTGCTGATCAATCTGCAGAGTCAGGCAACGCTGGGCTGGATGGTTGGATGCTGGAGGACCTAGTGCCGCTTGAAGGGTTGACTCTAGAGGGTGTGGCTGTAGAGGGTGTGGCTCCGGTGTGAATGTGGAGGGTGTGGCTTCAAAGGGGGTCACAGTAGAAGGTGTGGCAGTAGTGGGTGCTGCAGAGGGTGATGTAGCTTAGGAGCACTGCAGCTTTGACTGCTTCCTTTGGCTTTTCTATTACTGGAAAAATATGTTTGTGCGGCAGTAGTGATGAGTGTTGCGAGGGGCTATATTTCGTGCGTGCTTGTATCATTGACAAGGCATGAGGAAGGGCTAATGGATAACACCCAAAGAGTTAGATGAGAAGCCCAATGCTACCACCAGGAAAGGGGCACTTGGGTAGGTGTAAGGAATTGAGGTGAAGCTTCATATCGCAATGGCAAACATGAACAAGCAATGCTAGAAAACGTGATGTGTGGTAATCTAGACCAGATGTGTCTCACATATAACACGGGAATTCACACGTTATGACTGGTTAGAGTCTCTTCCATTCAGATCCATCCCATCCCAAGGCACAGCTACCTTTCCAACATAATACAAAGGTTTAGGGTTCTGTTTTTTTAGGTGTCTCGACCACAAACTGGGAAAGGGAAGGTCCAAATTCATACAGGAATAATGACCAATGTAGGTAACCACTTTATTACAAGCAATCCCCATACCAAGCCCACACTGGTTTAGTGTAGATTTTCTCAGGAAGTTCGAAAACACGGTTTTATGTACCATCAACAAAAAGCACACCACACTACTATACTTTCCCCGGATGGAGGCCATGTAACTTCCGTCTATTTTTTTGCTTCTAATCGACTTACCTCCATTCGCCCAGGTAACTTCCTTCTATTTTGCTGCTTCTAATCGACTTACCTCCATCGCCCTCGTAACTTCCTTCTCCTTGTCATCCTTCTAAGTATAATTGCAATCAATCAAGATCCAAAACTTCATATGTGTTAGTCTATGTGGACAGATTTGGTTGTTGCATACACTATTGAGAACACAGCATGCATTAGTGTTTGTGCTAGATATTCGGATTTCTGGTGACTGGTACAATCTCGGAACGCAATGTCGAAACCATGTCCTCAGCAAAGGCTTATACAGCTGGCGGTTAGAAAGCCATCCATTGCCTGCCACGTGGAAACCGTACCAATCCAGTCCCCCTCCGCTGGCAATGATGCGAGGCTCTGGAATTTCGGGTGTTTTGTCCGCCTAAACCTGATTTTCCGAGCTAAAATTTTTCAAGACCCTGCTAAAAGAGAATTGGGTGGTTTTACCACCCTGTCAAGCCTTGAAAAGAGATATCCATCGCCCTGCAACTGGGTGGTTGTACCACCATGTCAAGCCTAAACCCTTCACCTAAAGAACTAGAGCGATCATTAGGTTTTCACCCACCTCGCCACTGAAAAATGAGACAGTAAGTGACACATGACTTTTTCTGTGACTCGAATGGTAACACTTTCAAAACATTTGAAGAACTGAGGTATGAAAGAGTACTGTAATTTATGAAGATATATCACACACACAAAGTATAGCTGGGGGGAGAAACGAGTCAGTTTGAGACAGTCAGGATGGTGAGAGGAGGGTTAGAGCATGGCAAGATGGTGACACCAGAGAAAGCCAAAGCACAGACCGTAGGGGACCCACTATCATAAACTCCCTAAAAGTCTTCTCACACCCCTCCTGCCCACCCTATCGAGCATCCCACCCGATGCCCTGCTCGATATCCTCCTGCTCTGCCCAAGCGACATTGGGGCCCCTCATCATGGAGGCCGCACGCAAGAGGATAGGGTGCACTTGGGCCCGAAGCAGAATCACCCCAATGGTAGCCCTAAGTGAACCGAGCCAATATGCCCACAAGCCCTTGCCAGAGCCTCTCCCTGCCCCTCTATAATATGCTAACTGCAGCTGTGCATCACCTTGCCGCATAGGCCACCACCCATAGCTCCCTCCTAGGCAACCCCAGGTCTCTGCAATGAGGAGAGTGAACTGCACCCCCCTATGTTGCTGCATTAAAGGTCTGTAATCTGCAGCCTTCTGCTTTTCCCTCTCCCTAGCGGCAGAACCCACTGTGCGGCCAATCTGCCATGCTGCTGTGCAGGCAAAGAGATGGGGTCAACAACACCGACCTCGAGCACGTGTGCCTCCCTGTCTCTCAGACTACGAACCGCCACATCAACCCTCTTTCCCATAAGCAATCAATCATCCTCCATATTCAAACCCCCTCCTGCCCACTTATCTATATTGGCCACCACGAACTTGACCGCGTCGTGCAGTCGAGAAGGAGCATACTGATGCTTGCAGAATAGTGCATGATGGGGATAAGTCGGATTAGCAAACCTGACCCCACAAACACACTTGCTAGCAACTATTAGGTATTGGATAGGGAGACCGAGTCGCATGGCGACACAAATGCTCCATTCAGGTGCGTTGAAGTTAGCCTCCTTGTAAGATGGAATGGCAGAGATCCACGCTCCTGCCCCTGGGCCCTGAAGGGATGTCAAATGGGCTAAGGTGGCGTCGTTGTGAGGCATGCCGCAAAGCAACTGTAGACTCTCCACCGCCAGTCGACGGTGCTGCATAGAGAAATGCTTCAGCAAGGGGTCGGTGGTACACTGCGCAAGTGGGTGCACCTCTTGCCGAACTGGCTATAGGAGTAGCTCCACTATTCTCGCAAACCAGGGATCTAGCAATGTCATAGCTGTTAGATAGTAGCGAGAATGACGAGAAATGGATGAGATTAGGAAAGAGGGGGGGGTACAAGTAGAATGTCGAGAAGAATTGTGTACCCCCTAAAGCTAGCCCCCATACAGCCTAGAAGCAACTAAACCTAGATACAACTAAGCATATATATGTTTGACACACCCCCATAGGCGAAGTGGGGGATAGCAAGAGCAAGCAATGGTCACAAGACCAGTCAAGAGAAGAAGCAAAGCAAAGCAAGCTCAGGGTGGATCACAAAGTCACCACACAGTCCGAGCACAAGCAAAGGGCCACAAGGCCAGTTCACATGCAGAGTTATATAAAGAGAACAAACAATACAGTGATCATACCCTAGCAAGTGCAAGCATGCAGGTATATATATAGATCACAGTACAGGCAGAGTCAGGCAGTAAGTAAGTGAGGCAAAGTAGGCACAAGGCCTAACACAGTAACAAAGCGCTGATGATCACCAGGCGGAAGTGCCGTGGTGAAGACATCAGCAGTGTTGGCCCGAGTGGCCACGTACGCAAGACGAAGCTGACCACGCTGCTGCAACTCTCGAGCAAGGAAGTATCGCAGAGCAATGTGCTTCGTTCTGTGCTCCAGTCTGTGCTCCTGACACAAGGCTATCATGGCCTTGTTGTCTACGTACAGGACTGGAGGCGAACGAGGCTGCTCTCCCAAGTCGGTCAGCAAGTAGGTGAGCCAGCGTAGCTCCTGAGCAGCCATGGCTCCGGCATAGATCTCAGCCTCACAGCTGGAGCTGAGAACTGAAGACGAGCGGATAGACTGCCAAGAAACCAAGCCGGACCCAAGGCTGAAGGTGTAACCCTGCGACGACCGCTGCGTAGCTGAGTCGTCAACCCAGGAGGCGCCTGCGTGACCAGTGAGGACAACTGGACCCCGTCCTCCAAGCACAAGCCCCATGCCCGACGTACTGCACAGGTAATGCAGTACCCTCTTCGCAGCATCCCAGTGCACCTTTCGGTGCCTACCGGGAGCCACGTAGCGAGCCAGAAGGCTGAGAGGGTACGCGAGGTCAGGTCGTGTGCAAGTCATCAGGTACATGAGGCAACCCACAAGCTCTGGGTACGGACCACTCAACTCTACGGACTCGTCCGAAGGTGGAGCTGAGAGCGAGTGGTTGGTAGACAGAGGAGTGAGCTGTGGCGAGGAGTACTGGAAGCCGAAGCGCTGAAGGACCTGGTGCACCATGTGTGACTGAGTCAGTGTGATGGTGCGCCGTGCTCTGTCCCGGGTGATCTGCAGGCCAAGATAGCTGCGCAGTTCACCCAGGCCAGTGCAGGTATGTCTCTTTTGCAGCTCGGACTTCACAAGGGTCAGTGCCTCAGTGTCAGCCGTGGCAAAGACGAAATCGTCGACGTACACTAGGACGTAGAAGGGCGGCAGCGAGGTGTCGGTGCGTAGAAACAGCGACGGGTCTGCTGTAGAAGGAACAAACCCAAGAGCCGCAAGTGTAGTCGTGAGTGTCTCGTGCCACTCGCGAGGCGCCTGGCGGAGACCGTAGACTGGCCGGCGGAGGCTCCACTGGGTACCTGCAGGAAACGACCCAGTGAAACCAGGTGGTCAGTGCAGGCTGCCCTGCAGGAAGGCTGTACTGAAGTCCAAGGAGTGTAACTCGTAGTCACGCTGAGCAGCTACGTGCAGCAACACCCGAAGAGTAGTCATCTTCGGGGTGGGGGAGAAGGTCTGGAAGTAGTCAATTCCCTGTCGCTGACTGAAACCTCGAGCAACGTAACACGCCTTGAAGGCAGGCGGAGAACCCGGCGGCCGCTTCACCCTGAAGATCCACACGTCATCGACTATGTTCACCCCAGGTGGGGGAACCTCGTCGATGTAAGTGCCTGTGGACTTCTAGGATGCCATCTCGGCATCCATAGCTGCCTGCCACTGAGAGGAGTAAGGACCCGTAATCGCCTCTGCGTAAGAGCACGGGGTCGGGATGTCTGGAGCATCCGGGTCTCCCTCAGGGGCAAGCAGCAAGGAAGCGAAACAAGGTACAGCAGCTGCAAGACACTCAAAGTCCTCCTGCCTGTCCTCAAGGACGTCCGTGCCAAGAGCACACTCACCCCCGACGGACGGAGGACTGGCAGGCACAGACTCAGCAACTAGAGCATAGGTGTAGTCAAGACGGCAGGCAGCAGCAAAGTCAAGCAGCTCAGCAACAAGAGAAGAAGCAGCAGCAGACTCAAAGGACGGGTCAGTGACAGCAGTGGCAAGGAGACGAGCGACAGTGGGACTGGCAGCACGCGCTCGGTCAGACTCAGGGTCAGGGACCTCAGGAAGAGAGGACTCAGGAGGAGCAGGCAGAGGAACACGCAGTGGAACAGAGGAAGGACGGGATGCC